TGCCAGGACAATATACAAAGTGCTGTTGTCGTTCAATGGGATGTAAAACTCCAGATAATATTTTTCTGTTTTTGCTGATAATATGGCGATTATTTGGTGTCGCCCAATTTTAGTCACCCATCAGCACTCGCAGTTTCAAGCGCACACATAGAGCCAACGAACTCTGGTTACAAGTAGGCACACACAGTTTCGCTGTAGGAAGACGTCATACGAAGAAGTCATCTCTTGATAAATCTTGTACCATATATACGTTTCACTGATGTTAAGATATAGGAATCAAGTCACCCAAAATGTACTCTTTTAATTGCTAGAGCTGCGAAGTGGCAGGATAATTAAGCAGAGCCTACGTCACGTGTTCGAAAATTCTAAAGCCTGGGAGGCACAAGCAACACTTCAATATTCCGCCCCGACGAGAACGCGGACGCCGTTAAAATCCACCATATTGCTCAAAACAGCTGCGTGCCATAGATACTCAGCCACAGTGTCGGGTTCTCAAAGCAACACTTCTAATATCCGGCCTCCAATATCACGTAGAAGAGTGAAACTTTGGGCTAGTTGGTATTGCATGATGAAGAACGTACAGCGCGAACACAAGACGGGAATACTAAAGAATACTTGTCTGTGTCCCTTCTTTAGTATTCCCGTCTTGTGTTCGCGCTGTACGTTCTTCATCATCCAATATCACGCTTTCAATAGCGGGCTTTTAATGCTTCCAATAATGCGATTTCCCAGATCGTTACAAAGCGTTCCTGAGTGATATTGGTGCAGGCTATGTACACATGGCAATCGCGATCAGGGGGTGTGAACCTGAGCAAGGTGACGTGAAAGTTATGAGGCTATCTTTCTATGTGTTGTTCTCTGAATATTAGGTGGGGAGGGTAAGCTTATCGTACAGTTCAAGTATTGAAGTGACGATGAATACCTCGTTAGATTTGGTATCATATCTGCGCTTGCTGAAAAGAGTCAAAAGCTCTATTTCAAAGATGAGACAATATACTGGGAACAAATAACACGGCAGTCAATACAATACGAGGGGCGTTGCCTGAACATGCTGTAATACTTGAAACGAACACAATACCCGCTATATTATCACTATCTACTATCCTCTAGGTTACCATGCAAGTCATGAAACCATAATGACAACCCGTGTGTACTGAAAGTTTTCAAGTGTACTTACGTCGGAATTTCCTCACCCGTTACTATTACTGTTGATAAGAAAGCTGATGTACTTTTCACGCGCAGCGCTTAGTCATTCTCGTTCATAATTTCAGTAACAAAATATTTCGTTTACACGTAAACAACTTTGACCGAACTCGAACAAAAAGAAAACTTTTATTCGGTAGGTGCGTTTTCGTATTGGTCTGCCGGCTTCGCTAATGATTTGCTCGCATCATGGTAGCAAGAAAAATTACGAAAATGTTTTAGCATCAGTCAATTTTTAATAGGAACCCTGGCCTTCACAAAGACATGTGAGTATGACGATGATATCAAGAAAAAAAACACTACTCAGCGCCTAAAGTTTTCGTTTAAAAATTGTACGTGAACGAAATAATTTAATTATTTCAAGTTTCCTATTATTACCATAATTATTGATTTATTAATGCACTACTTGAAATTATTTTGAAGTGATAGCACACTACCCAATAGCGACAGTTCAAGCGCTCAGTACCAAACTAAGCATGAACCGTCCATCTGCAACCCCAAGGAGACTCAGCTCTGTGAATGGTCGGAACAGCCCAAACGACTCTGTTGCTTTTTGGCTCTCATGTGATCTATTTTTTTTTAAATTGAGCACGTTGACAACACTGGTAGAGCAAATGCAAAAAAATATGCTATAGTGGTAGTACAACCTTTTTTTTTAAGTATGGGGTAGTACACTGATCAACAAAACTTACTATGCACTTGCAGTCACTGATATTAAACACCTAAATGCCAGAGTTGAAAAAGCTGACATTTATTCATTACCCTGTGGTCTCATTGAAATCCGACTCACTCTTCTCCGAATAACCACAGTTATCGCGCCTAAACTACGCATTTTTCTGACATCAAATCTGGGCATCGGCTATTTATTTACCATCATTGTTATTTAAGAAGCCTACCGATTTTTGTAGCTTTACGACATGTCTTAAGATAGGGTATGTGGAACGCAGTTGGTGGCCGCAGTCGAAATTTTGGGATGATCGTACAGCTGTTTCTGAAAACTAGAAAAACGAGGCCCTTCCTGCCTACGTCTGACACGCTGGGGTTTCTATAAAAGCACGTAATAGCATGCGAGGAAGATTCATGTTTTCTTCTGGCATCAACAAAAGGGAATGTACAAAAAAAACAGCCAAGCAGTGCCTTATGCATTCGCCAGAGACTACTCGGATGCACACGCCATCTTTTTGTTCTTCCAGTCAATTTTATTGATGTTCCCACCACCCTAGAAACTTTCACCCAATGAGGTGTCGTTTCACTGCCCCCGGTGTCGAAGGCAAGGCAGCCTGGTTTTGTATTGCCTCTAGGATTGGTTCACTTTTTAATACGTAAAAAAAAAGTCACAGCTTTGCCGCAAAAGCGAAGAAATGAATGCGATAGCAACAAATTGGAAGGTAACGCGCAGAATGGCAAGCAAATCAAAACGTGCCCCACGTTTAGCACGCACAAATGACGCGTGAAACGTACTCACAGGTGCAGATGAACGCCAATAAGCGTGTCAGTTGTCACTTTGCCGTGTCTCAAAAGCACGACCTTTTCGCAAACGGAGGCTGTGGAACGATTGCAGTGACCTTTGTGGTCCCCGTAACTACAAAATGATCATTTCAATGCAAGCCCAACACCAGCCAAGACATACGATCTCCCCCTCTTGGAGTTAAGGGTGCGCGAGAGAATCGTTTTTCTTTAAACTTAACACGAACACACTATCTGTGAAAACATGGTTTGAACAGCGAGGTATGTTTGTGCTAGGGTAGTGAACTGTATTTTATGTAGCAGAGTAGAGACTGTGGAACACGTTTTTATTGACTTGGAACGCTGTATTTTATTGGGTTGTACTGCAGAGAACTTTGGAGAAGGCGCTACCAATCGACGCCTACGGTATTCGTTTTGTGCCTCTTCAAACAAATTGTGTCCCGTATGACCACTTCTAGGTCTTCATAGCATATGGAGGTCACGTATGGATGTACAGAATGCTGAGCTCCAAGCGCAATCGGTTAAAGCCTGTTTTGTTGAACAGGTAACGGAGCTAAGAGAAGGGCTGGAACACGGAGGGGCAATCGATGAAATGCCTAGTATATTAGACACATTGAAAGCGTTAAAGGTTCCTAAGTAAATACAGCCAGACGTACGCACGCTGGTGGGTGATGTGGGGCATATGTATGTATGTATAAGATGTATTGAACTTGTAATTAAAAAAACCTCGGAGGTTCAGTGGTTGACACCTAGCATTCACCACGTGGAGGTACCACGTGCGATTGCACGCGCCAGAGTCTTTTTTCTAGATTTTTTGTTGCGTTTTCATATATATAGATACGTATACATATACGGTGCATGACATCGCCGCCGAAGCCGACGCCCACGCCGACGCTGGCGGTGAAATCATGCCGAAAATGTCCATAGGATTGCTTTCGCCATTAAACGTCATTCGGTCACATCATCCCGTTAACGCTTATTTTGTGACAATACACACAAAAAAAGGCAGCATATCCATGGAGTCAATGATGGAGAGGGGGGCGAAGCATCCGTCCGTTCATTCGTTCTTGCTTCCGTCCGTCCATGCGTCCGTCTGTGTGACTGCCGTGCATTGATTCGCCCGTCCGTGCGTGCGTCTGTTCGTGCGTCCGCACGTCCATCTGTGCGTCGGTCCCTGCTTTCTTCGATGCATCCGCCCCGGCGTCCGTGAATGCGTCCATCCGTCGGTGCAGCCATCCGTGAGTCCGTCCATACATCTCTCTGTGTGTCCATTCGTCCATCTATTCAACACTCCAAGTACCACCATATCACATATTTTCATCATATATTCCCCATATAGAAGCACCACCATTCAGCGGACATTCCAAGGACTAAACGAGAGGTGGCACACGCACACTTTCTTACGGGTTGCGCTTCGTGTCTACTTCAAACCTTTAACCACCTCGAGTTCATGGTATACTTTTGTTCACTGTATTCATTCCACTGCGGCCCAACGCTCGCTAAACCTTTTTAAAACCAAGGAGGTTAGGCCCAGCGAGTATAACGTAGGAACCCTTTTTTGTCAAAGATAGTGCTCAATGTACATGTCATTGGCTGTTAAGGGGAAATGAGAGACAGGAGAATTCGACTTTTAGTCAACGCGCACGCTGCGAATTTTTTATTGTTCCACAACGCACAGAAGAAATCTCTCACCGGCACCACCTTGGAGGTCAAAATGTAAGGTTGGTTACACACTACGACTACTACTACAACTACGAAGGACGAACGGGTGCTGCTATAAGGAGCCTTGCCCCTAAAATCCAACAGTTCTGGAGAATATGGAACATTGAAGAGATGAATTATTCTTGAAGAATGGGGTGTGTGCAGGAACCGACGTATCGTCGATGAGAGTAACCTTGTTCGAAGCTCGAACTGCCTTGAAGCTTTGAACAAGAAAATTCTCCGTGTTGAAACGAGGATTTAGAGGCAGCCTATTCTTACTAATTTCTCACGCACAGGGTGTCGTATGGGTGCAACCAACCAATTTCGTCGATGAGGGCGTCATGGTGATGCCACAGGTGAGATCATCGTGACGTCATCTGTGATCAGATGATGCGTTATGGGCCGTTCATATTGACGCCGACATCAAAGGTCACTTTTGGTGTTGAATCAAGCATCTAAAGTTTTAGTTTCCATGGTGGCTGCACAATCGCAGTGCTTTAGTCCCCTCTGGTTATTTTCAGCAACGTTTACGGTTTACGCGATGAGATGCTGACTAACAGAGCATGTGCGCGTATCGTAAGGCGTCTTTTCGAGTGTGTAACCAGAAGCATTGTGTCACGAATGTGCAGGAGTGTTGTCCTTGGAAATAGGAGGAGATTTCGAGGGTGATATACTTCTGCCCAGAAACAGGTCGACTGATGTAAGTACTATCTTTCTGTTTTTCTTTGAAAAGAATTGCTAAAAAACTTTAATATTGATTTCTGATGGAGATGTTGTGATGACGTGTTTTATGGCTGACCACCATCCTAATTCTGTAAGATAGCATAAGTTGGGTGCCAACGTATTTTTGTGTTTTGTAATTTCTTGCATTGTTTGAGTAAAACCAAGTGCTCAAAGGAATATACACTGAGTAGCAGAAAAAGAAACTTCATTGTGATGATCTACGTGCCGCAACCATGATGACGACGCATGAATTGAAAAGAACAGTGACAGCAGGTTTTTAGACGTTTGCAATCTGTGATTTGGGTGCCATGCGTGTTTGATGGTCGTACCGGAAAAGAAACGAACAAGTCTCTATTCCTGCTTAAATTGAATTACTTGTGAAGGGGTGTAGTGACTTCTTGCTTTACAGATGCAGCAGGAAAATATACTGTCAACGTTTGACTGGAAAAGGCGTCCTGTCGATGATGAGATATTATACAGCAGATAACCATGCATAGGTTTTGCAGGCTTTGTAAGTAATTGTCATAATTCACGAGTATAACCAAAACTGCGATATAAAATATGAGAGACGCCATAGTGGCGGTTTATAGAGATATTGCAACCAGTGGAAAAAAGGGCTCTTAAATTTGTGTATAAGTGTTCACAGATAAACCGATTTGATAGTGTTACGCACACAGGGCTAACACGTGACTTCGAGAATTTTATTCTCAGCACTCCGAATTGCTAAAACATAGTATCATCAAGCTGTGTTGAAATAATGCGCTCGATAAATCGTGTTGCCACCTGAACCAAAACAGTTTCAACGAGGAAGTGTCCCCGCTCTTGAAACCCCGTCTTTCTAGTAATATGTTAGTATCTGAAGCTGAAGTTGCACTGTGGTGCTTAAAAGTTGGTCGTGCCCTGCTTAGCGCAAACATAATGCCTCCTTTTGACAAAGGCAACGTGGCCGTCATTACGCAAGTCCCCCGAATATCACCTAACTAAAAGGGCCTGTCAGCAGGCTGTGACGTTTGTTTTACACCACCAAAAAACAAGCTCGATTATGCGTAGAGCAGAGCGCAGCAATGTCCTTTTCTTAATATTACAGCGCGCGCAGAGCTCCAAGAACAACTCCTGCGCTCCTTTCGTACACCAGTCCTCCTTTCCCGCGCAGTGACGCAAAGTCGGCGATCGGTGACTTGACGCAGCACGCAGCTCCTCTATTGGTCTAAACCAAATCTCACCCAACAGCAGTGAAGTCAACGCCAGTTCTTGTTCGCAACCAAAGCTACGAAACTGCCCCTTGTTTCTTCGAATTACGGTAATACAGACTTGGCTTCGCAGTTGTCGCGCGTACCATTCTCGCTCAACTACAGCTCAGGAAGCATAGCGCCTGCTTGAGCGTACTTCACCCTCGACATGAGCAACACGAGGAAAAAGCGTTGCCCATTGTCGGCTGCAAATCGAGTGACAAATCGAGTGAAGCATCGGCACCGGGTTAACAGTAAACAACCAGTCGTCTCAAGTGGAAGTGTCTTGCAACTGATCGAGGTCGCCGATGAAATCATTTTCAGACTTCGTGTGACATTGCCGAACAGGGCGGAGCCACGATGAACTGGCTGCACCTTTCCCTCTATGTGAGGAGGAAGGCTGGCGAGGCCACGCGAAAATTTGAAACAAGCTGAAACCAACGTTTTAACCCCTGTAACTTTCTTAATATAGCACATATTCGCAAAATTGTAGTGACAGCATGCCGACGAAATAAAAATGCGCATATTTCCCGTTATAACGATTTCGGACCTTCGGGTTGTTACCTGGCCCTTTAAAGAAAATAGTGGCTCAAGACGATGTACGGGTTGTATTCCAAGCGCCGAAGAAACTGTTTTCTTAGGTGCTGAGAATGCCAATAAAGATGAATGACAACTGCGTTAAGAATTACAAAGGAAATTTGTTAAGCGCTTGTCAGGAGTTGTTTGTTGTATTGCGCTATCTTTTATCTTTTAAGCACTTCTACACCGTACGAACAGAAACGTGCGTGAACGATCGCCACAGAGCGCCAGTGCAAGTGTAAAGAGAGGCCTGCAGAGGTTTACTGCAAATTACTGCAAATTACGAATTACTGCAAATTAGTGAAAGTACACATGCAGTACAAGAGCTGTGTGGAAGCGTGCACTTTCTCTTCGCAAGCTCTGTGTCCACCTTAAAACACTGTCTTGAACAGGGTACGCATATTCTTTGCGTCATTTCACAACAGATTAAAGGGACACTAAAATCAACTATCAAGTCGATGTTGATTGTTGAAATGGTGATCCAGAAGCCTCGTAGTGTTACTTTTGTGTGAAGGAAGGGCCTATTTTGAAATAAAGTCACGTTTTTAGTGCTCCGCATTGGGTTAGCACACTTCAAATTACCCGCCTCAAGAAGTGGACCGACTGGACCGTCTCACATCCCTGTTGCCATGCACAACGTTGCCCGGCTTTACTACGCTAGAAGCGGCATACTAAAAGTAGCGGGAGCCACAGCAGCAACAACGACCATTGATCAATTTCCCGCCATTGGCTTCGAGAATGCAGATGCTTTTGTTAAAACAGCGCCTCGCTAGGTAGCACTACCTGTCCCGTGTAACCACGCGAAATCTGAATTTTGAACCACTCGTGCCGTTCCCCATAGTAACGTCCGGTGATTCTTTTTCCCATGTGCGTTAATGATCTAAATATGCGGACGTTTTTGAAATTTGAAATTGAACTGTCCCCCCCTTCCCCTTGAAATGTGAATGCCATGGCAGAGAATCAAATACGGGTCTTCGAAATTTACATATGAGTTTCACTTAAGCGGTATTTAAGAGCATGTAGAAACTTTTTCAGCAGCATTAGTAGTGACTTGGCAACGTTGCCCTGAATTGGTTGTTCAGCGTGAGAAGTGTTGTAATGCTGCATGTTACGAACACCAGAGTATGCAAAATTGCCAATGTGGAAAGTTGTGAGTGCTTCCTATGGTAGACTTGGCAAAATCCTGTGAGATACATTTCCTGCACGGTTATTTCCAATACAAAGCCTGCAGTTCCCAGATAGGTTTTCTCGCTCCATTATTATTCACTCCTCCACATTCCAGCGAAAGAACACCACTTTTTTAAAACCGTACTGCATGATTGTCACGCTTCTAAGTACGCTCCCGCCTGCAGTTGAATGAAACTTAAGAAGCCCAGACAATCAAAACGCGAAAGCCAGTCACTCCGTGACTAAATAAATTTGTCCACGCTGATGCATTCGCCAATGTTCTCTGAAGGCAGTGTTGTGACGTCAAACCGAAGAGCTCACCCTTTGGGGAAAGTTCGTGTGCGTCGTCTTTGAATAGAAAATGTAGTGAAATTCAGATTTGTATTTGCCTACATGTTGAGAAAGCGGGAGTTGAATTGAAATGAATTGAGTTGAGCGGAGAAGAATTGAAATGTAGGGATAAGTGGCTAACGGAAAGGATAGTCTATCCTCAAGGCTGTTCGTGCGGAAAACGTAGCTGGGCACGCATGGGTTAATGAATGTTGTGCGAGCGGTATTGTGCGCAGCCATGAGCGTACAGCCGACGGCAAGATTTAGCACAATAAGAAATATAGGGAGTCAGTCAGTCTGTAAAAGACTTTAATAAATGGTTCTGAGGAGTTTAAGCCACCAGGGTGTCCACGAGGGACAGCCTCCCTTAGAAGTTGGCAGCCTGCCTTGGAGGAGGAGAGGCGTATCACTTAGGCCGTGGTCTGGGCCTCGGTCCCTTCATCGATGTTGTGCATGCTTAGTTGGTCGACACGGGAAGTGCTCGTGTTTTGAGGTAAACCAAGGACTTATTTAATGCTTTTACGTATGAGCGTGTTTAGTTGATCTTTTTTACCTTCGTCCAGTTGTGTGCAGAGGCGACGTTATTGATGTGACTCATCAGGAACTCGTGGTATATGTGCAGAAGGTTGATCTCTCCTAGGCCTCGTCTGCGACCCGAGACTCGCTGAATCAGTCGGACCATGTTTTCCGTTTTTGCTGTGATGTGTGTTATTGTTCGCGCATGGCAGCCAGTGGCCTCGATTAGGAGGTCGAGAATGCGTATGGGGTCCACGCGGGGTATTCGTTGCCAGTCTTTGGCGTGCAGCGCTATGGGTAGTTCATATTAGGGCGTTAAATTACTAACACCTTGACGAGATGTCCGTTATAGTAGCAACTCTAATTTCGTGGGCGACAGTCGCAGTCCAGTGTGTTTGAGGCAGGCTTTTGTTGTATCGAGAGTGCTTTAAAGGGCCTGCTCTAACTCCGTCAAGGAGCCCCCGGGCACCAGATGGTGATGTGATCTGCGTATATAGCATGGCTTATGCTAGTGACGCAACGTAGTTTGTCAGACAGTCCCTTCATTACTATATTAACAAAAAGGGAGTAATGGCTGCCCCTTGTGGTGTGCCATTGGAACCTGATGTATAAGCGTCGGATGTAAGTTGAGATATTGGAATCTTGGCCTTTTGGTCTTGTAAGAAAGAACGAATGTATGCCTTGAATTTTTCGCCAAGATCGAGGCTGGCAATGGATTACAGTATAAAGTGGTGGGAGATGCTGTTGAATGCTTTAGTGAGACCTAGGGCGAGGATGCCACGGACATCTCTCGTTTTTGAGCCGAAGATCATTTTCTTTTTTAACAGCATGAGGTACTGTGTTGATAAGCGTGAAGAGAACCCGAGCATGTTGAATGGAAAGAGTTTGCGATCCTATATGTAACATGATACACGATTTACGACGCCATGTTCAGCTGATTTTCCTATACAGAAGGTTAGGGAGATAGAGCGTAGATTGCCGAAGTTTAGTGGTTTACCTGGCTTTGAGAGAAGCATTACCGTGGCCATGCGGCATTGTTCAGGTAGTGGCCGGCTCTCCTCATGTGGTTAACGTCTTTTGTGAGTAGTGTGATGACTTGGTCGTCTAAATTTCGCAACAGGTGGTTGGTTACCTTGTCAGGGCCGGGGGCCGATGG